GTCAATGCCCTTGTGTAAACTAGCATCAGTTCTTGGGACTTCCCTGATGGTCCCATGGTTAAGACTCCGAGCTTCCACTGCAGGAGGCATGGGCTTGATCCCTGGTCAGGGGACTAAGATTCCACATGCCACACAGTGCAGCCAAAAATAAAGAAATGAAAATAAACCAGCATCAGTTCTTCCTCAAATTACTCCACTGGTCTCCCTGCCTTCACTTGGTCCCTTTACAATTCTTTCTGTGGATCGGGAATCCAGGTTCACTTAGCTGAGTCCTCAAAGTTCAGGATCTCTCAAAGGCTTCAACCAAAGTGTAGACTTAGGTCTCAAAATCACTATAAAGCTTCAGTTGAATCACCAGCTTCTCCTGCTTGTGCTTACTTGCTCAGTTGTGTCCAACTCTTTGCAGCCCCATGGGCTGTAGACCACGAGGATCCTGTACCCATGGGATTTTCCAGGCAAGAATACTGGAATGGGGTGCCATTTCCTATGCCAGGTGATCTTTCCCATCCAGGGGTAAAACCGTGGCTCTTGTGTCTCCTACATTCTTTATCACTAGTGTCACCTGGGAAGCCCTCACCAGCTTAGAACTCCTCAATGAGTCTTCATCAGTGAATCACAGTGCATTGATGGGGAAATCCAAATGCCTTAACATGGCTTCTGGGGCTGACCTTCAGCTCTCCTCATCACTAACCAGCATCCAGCCAGCCTGGCTTTTCAGTTCCCCCAATGTGACCAGCTATTTTTTTTTTTTTTTTTTTTTTTGCTGTGTGGCATGTGGTGTCTTAGTTCCCCAACCAAGGATCAAACCCATGCCTCCTGATGGAGTCTTAGCCACTGGGCTGCCACAGAAGTCCTCTCTTTTTAACTTTCACATCAAACATTCTGTCTCCTCCCCTACTCCTCACCACTCTTTATTTGGTTAATGCAGAACTCTTTTTTTTCTGAATAATTCTTAGTACAATCTACAGTTTTCCCTTTATATATGTATTGTTATCTTTTGCTGCATAAAAAATTACCCCAAAACTTAGTGGCTTACCACAACAATGTTTATTAGCTCAAGTTTCTGTGGGTGAGGAGTCCAGATTCACCTAGCTGAGCCCTCAGTTCAGGATCTCTCGAAGGTTGTAACTGAAGAGTCCACTGGGCCTGAGTCGTCTGAATGCCCAACAGGAGCAGGACCCTGCTCCGAGATCACACGTGGCTGTTGGCAGCATTCTGGTCCCTGAAGGCTCTGGTGCCGAAGATCTCAGCTGTTGGGCTAGAGGTCGCCCTCATTTTCTTGCAGCGTGGGCCTCTTCAGCATCTCAACTTGCTTTACCAAAACATAGAAGCTGAAGGAGTTTCCTGGTGGTCCCATGATTAGAACTCCATGTTCTCACTGCTGAAGGCCAGGGTTCAATCCCTGGTGGAGGGACTAAGGTTCTACAACTGCATGGCGCAGCACTCCTCCCTCAAAAAAAAAAAAAAAAAAAAAACAGGCTGAAGATGCAATAGAGAGAGTTGTTCTAGGAAGACAGTAGTCAGTTTTCTGAAACCTAATCATGAAAATTACATCCCATCACTTGACAATATTCTCTTCATTGGAATCAAGTCACTGGGTGAACCCTAAGCTGGAGAAGGGGAGAAGGATGTGACTCCTAGGATATAGGAGTCATTTGGAATCATCTTAGAGGTCTGCCTATTAAATCTGCCTCTGTGCTCACTCACTCAGTTGCGTCCGACTCTTTGCGATCCTAAGGACTGTAGCCCGCCAGGTTCTTCTGTCCATGAAATTTTCTAGGCAAGAATACTGGAGTGGGTTGCCATTTCCTCCTCCAGGGGATCTTCCTGACATAGGGATGGAACCAGCATTTCCTGTGTCTCCTACACTGGTAGTCAGATTCTTTACCACTGAGCCACCTGGGAAGCCCCTGTGGTGAGATATGCATAACATTAAATTGACCATTTTCACCATTTTTAAGTACACAGCCCAGTGGCATTAAGCACATTCACATTGTTGTATAGCCATCATCATCTCAAGGACTTTCTCATTTTCCCAAACTGAAACTCTGTCTCCATGAAACACTGACTCCCCAACCTCCCCCGGCCTCTGGTCCCACCATCTACTTCCTGTCTCTATGGATTTGACTCCTCTAGGACTTCCTGTGAGTGGGATTATACAGTATTTATCCTTTTGTGACTGTCTTATTTCAATTAGCCTAATGCATCAAGATTCATCTTTATTGTAGCATTCTCCATTTTTTTCTTGGTAACTCTCCCGTGCCTGGCTCATGGTAGGCTGACAATAAGATTTTAGTTAACAATGAATACAGTCTCTTCTTTCTTAAGTCTGGTTGCTTTTTGGGGGCTAATATCAAGCTATTTTTTAAAAAGTCTCCTTCTCCCTGTCTAAAAAACATCCATTTGTCCCAACAAATTTAGTCTTGGGTATATATCCTAAAACAATCAAACAAACAAAAAAGCCTCAAAATAGCAATTCACCACGCAGCACTATATTTTTAAATATATTTTAATTTTATTGGAGTAAAGTTGATTTACAATGTTGTGCTGGTTTCAGGTCTACAGAAAAATGCCTCAGTTATACATATACATATATTCATTCTTTTAAAAAATGTTTGTTTATTTTTGATTGATGATAAGTTTACAATATCAGTTTTTCTGTCATACATCTACATGAATTAACCACAGGTGTACATAAGATAGTCATTCTTTTTTTAGATTCCTTTATCATATAGGTTATCACAATGTTGAGTAGAGTTCCCTGTGCTATACAGTAGGTGCTGTTGGTTATCTATCATATCTAGTAGTGTGTGTGTGTATCCCAAGCCACCTCCCAACACTCTTGATAATCCTCTCTGGGCTCTATTACTCCAGAGTACTTGTCACCTTCTGATTAATTTTATTACTTATTATGTTTATTGATTATTTTCTGTCTCTTAGAACGTAAGCTCCAAAGGGGGAGAGAGCTTTGCTTTGTTGATAGAAGTTTTCCAAGAAAATATCCTGGCACATAGGGAGCAGAGATGTTGAAGGGATAAATCTGCTTCTTAAGCCGACAGGAAGGGCATCAGCAGCCAGGACGCCCCGAGAGGGACAGTCACTCGTAGTAAATCCTTTCCTGACAACGGCCAAGCCTCGATCTGAACGGGATTCAGCACCAGGAGCCCCTGGACAGCTCTGGAAGCCAAATACTTCCGGAACCCTTCCTCTAAGGTCTTAGTTTCCCGCCGGAGCCGTCCTGTGGCCGTACCCGCCGCTCTTTGGGAGGAAACTACTTTCCCTTGCCGGTAGGAGAGGTGGAGTCGCAGTTTGAGTGGCAACTGTAACAGCCAATGCCGTGGAGAACGTGGCCCGCGGCGCTTGGGGCGGCCAGTGGTCAGAGGCGTGGGCGGGGCGTGGGCAGCGGCTCGCCGAGCTAGGGCTCGGCCGGGATCCCAGCAGAAGGGTCGACACCGCCCGGCAGTTGAGCGGCAGACGGAGGTACGTGCGGGCCGGGCCTGGGCGGCTCGGGACCAGGCGGGCTCTGTTGCCCATTAGCCGAGGCCCCGCCTTTGATTTGCGTCGGGTTCCCCCAGCGCAGCGTGACTTGTCCCCTGTCGAGTGGGGCGCCGGGTACAGCGCTGGGTACACAGAAGGTGCTCAATAAATGCTGAGTGAAAGGATGAATGAATGAGACCGTCCCCTCTGCCTAGCCCTATTAGCCCCCGGTTTGAGGGCGTCCAGGCCACCCTCACCTCTACGCTACAGCCTGGGGCATCCTGATCTTTGGCAGGTGTTAATTGGGCGCTTACTGCGTACTTGGCTCCGGACTGGGGAAGACAGACTCCTTGATCCTGTGGAAGTCGCAGCCCAAGGCAAGTAAGGACATTCGGGGATTTTATGTAGTTTCCTGTAGCACCAGTGATGCCTAGGGCCGGGGTGTGAGACATCTCCCCTCTGGTGGGATCTGAACTGACTCGGGGGCGCGGGCAGTGAGAACTGAGAGGTTGGGGAGCAGCCGCAGTCTGTTGTATTAATGGTGACATTTTCGGTCTGTCTAGGGCGAGATCGACTTCAGTTTGGCTCATCGTGTCCCATAAAGAGGTCCACATGCTTCAGCTCATCCGTTTGTTCAGCCAGCTGTTACTGAAACATCGGTTCTGCTCTGGGCCTTGAGGTGGGTACAGGCGGTACCATTTAGGGCAGGGGGAGGCCCCCTCAAGGGGTCCTGGAGGCAGCGATCTGAAAGGCAAGCATCACTGGAAGGTTAGGGGAAAGTGGCTTGAGGAAGAGAGCAGGCTTGCCACAGTCAGGGACCACCACGGCCAGTGAGGGGAGGCAGTGCAGAACCTTTGTTTCAGGGTAAAGCTGTTGGATTTTACATAAGGGCAGGGGGACCTAGAACATTGTGCAATGAAGGAAGTGTTCTCTTTGCTGTCCAGTATGGTGGCTGCTAGACTCAGGTGCCTGCTGGACACTTGAAATATGGTTAGCGTGACTGAGGAGCTGAATTCTACTGAATTTTATTTAAATGTTTATTTATTTATTTATTTTTTGCCTGCACTGGGTCTTAGTTGTGGCATGTGGGATCTAGCTCCCTGACCAGGGATTGAACCCGGGCCCCCTGCACTGGGGAGTCTTAGCCCCTGCAGTGGAGTCTTAGCCACTGGGCCAGCAGGGAAGTCCCTATTTCTGCATTTTATTTAATTAACTTACACAAACACATGTGTCTAGTGACTGCCATACTGGACAGTGCAGCCGTGGAGAATTTTCTGCAGGAGACAATGATGCGTGCTAGGTCTGGAGTGGGTAGAAATACTGGGGGTGATGGGCTTGGTTTCTTGAGCTGGTCAGAGGACCAGTCCAACAGCTGACGTGGTTGCCCCTGACATTCACAGGGGCTGGACTGAGGCATGAGCCCCCAGCTGTGTGGTTGGACCCCCTAGTGCACTGTGGGACGGGAGTGTGCGCCCACACATGGTTTGGCCAGGCGGCGACCAGAGCAGCTGGGGGACACCACCATGGTGAAGCTGTTGGTGGCCAAAATCCTCTGCATGGTGGGCATGTTCTTCTTCATGCTGCTTGGCTCCCTGCTCCCCGTGAAGATCATCGAGATGGACTTTGAGAAGGCCCACCGCTCGAAAAAGATCCTCTCGCTCTGCAACACCTTTGGCGGTGGGGTCTTTCTGGCGACGTGCTTCAATGCTTTACTGCCGGCTGTGAGGGAAAAGGTAAGGCTCCCTGGGCTGGCAGTAGTGGCCCATGGCACCTTATGGCCAAGCATCTCTGCTGCTTTTATTTTTTCCATTTTTTATTAAATGAGATATAGTTGATGTACAATATTTTGTCACTTTCAGGTATGCAACATAGGGATTCACAATTTTATAAAGGTTATACTCCATTTATAGTTATTAAAGGGCTTCCCTGGTAGCTCAGCTGGTAAAGAATCTGCCTACAATGCAGGAGACCCTGGTTCAATTCCTGGGTCAGGAAGATCTGCTGGAGAAAGGATAGGCTACCCACTCCAGTATTCTTGGGCTTCCCTGGTGGCTTAGCTGGTAAATAATCCGCCTGCAATGTGAAAGACCTGGGTTGGATCCCTGGGTTGGGAAGATCCCCTGGAGAAAGGAACAGCTACACATTCCAGTATTCTGGCCTGGGGAGAATTCCATAAACTGTCCATAGGGTCGCAAAGAGTCAGACACAACTAAGCGACTTTCACTTTCACTTTCTTCATAGTTATTAGAAGCTATTGGCTATATTCCCCATGCTGTGTAATACATCCTTGTAGCCTATTTATTTAATCTTTTCAGTCTTTATTTATTTCTTTGGCTGCACCAGGTCTTAGTTGTGGTACATGGGATCTTCACTGTTACATGCACAATCTTCTTTGTGGTGTGTGGAATCTTTAGTTGCAAACTTAGTTGTGGCAATTTGGACTCTTGGTTGAGACATATGGGATCTAGTTCCCTTAAGAGGGATCAAACCCAGGCCGCCTGCATTGGAGCTCAGAGTTTCAACCGTTGGACCATTAGGGAAGTCCCTATTTTATACATAATAATTTATACCTCTTAATCCCCTACCTTTATCTTGCCCCTCCCCCATCTCTGGTACTTTTAAACCCTGATACCAAGCTTAGGGACCTTGACACTATAAGAGTGAGGGGAGGTAGAAAATGAACTTGCTATGTGACCATGAGCTGGTAGCTTTTCCTTTCTGGGTCTTACCTGGTAAACAAGGGGTTTGAGCAAGACCTGGGGTTCACAGATGGTATGCTCATCAGTCGTTACTTGACCAGACCACTCGCACCAGGCATGTGCTCTTTGTCCTGAAGCTGACGATTGTGGCCTCTCTTCAACTCTTGTATCAGTCAGATGTTTGCTGCATAACAAATTATTACAAACTTAGCATCTTAAAACAACACATATTTTAAGACCACAGTTTCTGTGGGTTAGGAGTCTGGGTAACACTTGGCTGCTGGCTTTCATGAGGCAGCAGTAGAGGTACCTGCTGGGCTGTAGTCTCATCCCAAGGCTGGTGACAGGTTGGCATCTGAGCTCACGTGGTTGTAAGACATAGTTCAGTTCCTTCTTGATTGTCCAACTGGGTCACAGTTTCTCCCGAGCTCTTGGCTGGGAGTCACCCTCATTCCCTGGCCACATGGGCTTCCTCACTGTGCTGTCTGCTTTATCTACAAGCCCTATCCTGTGCCTGGACTGCTGACATTGAGGGCTGGGCAGTGTTTTACACTTCTAAGCTTGTGTTCCTCCATTACGGATCATGGGAAACTTGTGCACTTGGCATCAGTGAAGATGAGATCTGAGTCCTCTCTGATGTACTCTGTACACGCTTCCTGAATTCCGACAGTGTCACCACCGGCCTGGACTACTGTAATGGCCTTGCCCCTCCCTGTTCCCCTTCAGCGCTCAGGGCCCTCTCACAGTCCTCCCAGAACCACTCCTGTGCCATGCCCCTGCCCCAGAACTCCCCAATATCTCAGTGGGCCAGGCCCCTCCTCCTGGCCACCCACCAGCCCCCACCGGAGCTCCTGCTTCATGGTCCAGTGTGGCTGCCACTGACCATTCCAGCTGGTCAGGTTTCAGTGAATTGAAATCGAACACAATTCAACAGGCCAGTCCTCAGCTGCACCAGCCACATTTCAAGTCCTCAAGGGCCACACGTGGCTGGTGGATTCCATGTCAGACAGCATAGATAGAGAACATTTCCATCATCTGGAAGGTTCTGTTGGACGGTACTGGCTCAAGGGGTCTGGTGAAGACAGCCAGATGTGCTGGTGAGCCTCCTATTGGTTCTCAGCATCTTCACCCAGGAAGGTGGAGTGACAGGGGGCCTCAGAAACAGCCCCTGAGTCATGTGGAAGCAAACCAGTGGAGGCTTCAGGGCCAGAAAGCCTGACTGACGTCATGATCTGGAGGCCAGAGGTCCAAGACCAAGGGGTGAGTGGTCTGGGTCCTTCTGAGGCCATGAGAGTGAATCTATCCTGTGTCCCTCCCGACTTGTGGGGATCGTCTGCAGTCCCTGGTGTCTCTGGCCCTATATGAGCATCACCCCATCTCTGCCTCCGTCATCACATGGCCTCTCCCTGTGTGTCTCTGTCTCTCCTTTTCTCTCTCAGAAGGACACCTGTCATTGGATTGAGGCCCCATCCTTATCCAGGAAGATGTCATCTCAAGATCCTTATCTTATGAATGAGTTTCTTGGGGTGACCATGACAGAAGATCAGAGATGGGGGGCTTGAACAGCAGACACTTACTCTCTCCTTGGGCTGGAGGCCACAAGTCTGAGATCAAGGTGCTGGCAGGGCGGGGCCTCCTGTGGCCTATCTCCCTGCCTTGCAGACAGCCATCTCTTGCAGCCGCTTCACAGGATGGCTCTTCTTCTTCCTGTTAGGACACCATCTAGTGACTTAGGGCTGCCCTGACAGCCTTCTTTTAATTGAATCTCCTATTTAAAGACCTTTTCTCCAAATAGGGTTGGTTTTGAGGCACCAGGCTTCCCTGGTGTCTCAGATGGTAAAGAGTTTGCCTGCAATGCGGGAGATCTGAGTTCAGTCCCTGGGTTAGGAAGATCCCCTGGAGAAGAGAATGGCAACCCACTCCAGTATTCTTGCCTGGGAAATCCCATGGACAGAGGAGCCTGGTGGGCTACAGTCTGTGGGATTAGAAAGAGTTAGACACAACTTAGGGCTCACACACACACACTTGAGGCACTAGGGATTGGGAGACTTCCATATAAAAGTTTCTGTTTGTCAGGGACACAGCTCAGCCTGTTGCACCTCAGTTATGTCTGCAAAGACCCTTCTTCCAAATGAGGTCACTTTCTGAAGTTCCTGGTGGACATATGTTTAGCACACTACACTATTGTATTTTTTTAAATATTTGTCTGTTTGCTTGTTTTAGAAGCTACCTATAGATGGCTGGAGGAGTACAGAAAGGAAGGGTATCTTAGAGGGTATCAAATGGTTGCTTTTATTTTTTATTTTTTTGGCTACACCGAGCAGCTTGCGGAATCTTAGTTTCTCCAGCAGGAATCGAATTCGTGCCCCCTGCTGTGGAAGCATGGATTCTTTTTTTTTAACCATTATTTATTTATTTACTTATTTTTGGCCGTGCCGGGTCTTTGGGGCTTCTTACTGTGGTGGTTTCTCTTGTTGCAGAGCACAGCTTCAGTAGTTGTGGCCCAGGAGCTTAGTTGCCTCAAGGCATGTGGGATCTTCGTGGACCAGGGATCGAACCTGTGTCCCCCTGCATTGGCAGGCAGATTCTTAACCACTGGGCCATCAGGGAATTCTCTACACCATTTACAAGTTGGTCAACAGAGTGGAAGTGGCGTGAGCTCTATTCCCCTTCTAATAGATTTTTTTTTCAATCCATCGAGGATGAGTCACTGTCCCCTCCCCTTTTTAAAACCTGTATGAACTGAGTATTTCAGTCAATTGAATGGTCATATCTGGTGACCTGTTGTGTGGGCAATGGGGTTACGGTCTCTGGCCTCTGAACCTCTCCCATCCTTTCCCCCGGTACCCTCCACTCCAGCTCCAGGAGGTCCTGACTCTCGCGCACATCAGCACCGACTACCCACTGGCCGAGACCATCATGCTGTTGGGCTTCTTCATGACTGTCTTCTTGGAACAGCTGGTGCTGACCTTCCGCAAGGAGAGGCCAGCCTTCATCGACCTGGAGACATTCAATGCCAGCTCAGACGCTGGCAGCGACTCGGAGTACGAGAGCCCCTTCATGGGTGGCCAGCGGGGCCACATGCTCTACTCAGAGCCACACGGGCACAGCCATGGCCTGAGTATTCAGGAGCTGTCACGCTCCAGCCCACTGCGGCTCCTCAGCCTGGTCTTTGCCTTGTCAGCCCACTCGGTCTTCGAGGGCCTGGCCCTGGGCTTGCAGGAGGAAGGGGAGAAGGTGGTGAGCCTGTTCGTGGGAGTGGCCATCCACGAGACGCTGGTGGCTGTGGCCCTGGGCATCAGCATGGCCAGGAGTGCCATGGCCCTGAGGGATGCAGCCAAGCTGGCCGTCACCGTGAGCGCCATGATCCCGCTGGGCATCAGCCTTGGCCTGGGCATTGAGAGCGCCCAGGGTGTGCCCAGCAGCGTGGCCTCTGTGCTGCTACAGGGCCTGGCGGGTGGCACTTTCCTCTTCGTCACCTTCTTCGAGATCCTGGCCAAGGAGCTGGAGGAGAAGAGTGACCGGCTGCTCAAGGTCCTCTTCCTGGTGCTGGGCTACACTGTCCTGGCTGGCATGGTCTTCATCAAGTGGTGACAGCTCTGCCCCCACCCAGCTGGAGCCCCACAAGATGCACAGGGCCCCGCCCCGCCTCCCCTGAGGGTCAGAGCTCATCCCCCAGGCCGTGCCTGCACATAGAGGGGCTGCCTGGGACCACACTACACCCTACATCCTGCACCCCGAGCCTTGGGGCCCCACTCCTTTTACAAATTCTTCTCTTAAAAGTATTTCCCAAAGCCGTGTGGCCATGTCATCCTCAGGCGTGGGAATCTGGTGACTCATAGGGGAGGCGGGGCGGGACCCAGACCCTCCTCCCCAAACACCCCAGCTTGGACGATATGGAAGTGGCCAGCCTCTGTCCTCCTTGCCGGTGGTGGCTCAACTGGTAGAGAATCCACCTGCAATACAGGAGACTCTGGTTCGATTCCTGGATTGGGAAGATTCCCTCTCCAGAGAAGGAATAGACTACCCACTCCAGTATTCTTGGGCTTCTCTAGTGGCTCAGATGTTAAAGAATTTGCCCACAATTTGGGAGACTGGGTTCGATCCCTGGGTCTGGAAGATCCCCTACAGGAGGGTATGGCTTACCCATTCCAGTATTCTTGCCTGGAGAATCCCCATGGACAGGGGTGCCTGGCAGGCTACAGTTGAGAGGGTCGCAAAGAGTCAGACAGGACTGAGCAACTTAGCACTTGTGGCCACCCTCAGCCTCCTCTGGAGCCCTGCAGCACACAGCTGGCGGAGTGTCCCCAGCGTTAGCAGAGTGGCCAGGTGCTGTCACGTGACACCCTGAGTGGTTTCCATTAGGAGGGCCCTGCAGGGAGCCTCTGTTCAGGGTTAGTTGGAGGCCCTGTTCAGGGTTAGTGGTTCCTGCTGCCTGAGGCTCTGCTTGGTGGGCAGATGTATGGTTTCAGGAACCCAGGAGACACCCTGTTCCCTGTTTTCGGTGCGGCCTGCCTACATGGGGAGGTTGCCACCCAGGACCCGGAGCTGAGCTCTTTGGTTCTGGTCCAGAGACACATATGGGGAGGTTCCAGGTGCCCAGGGACTCCTGGCAGGCCAGGGTCAGGGACCACGTGTCTCAACTCCCCCCACCAGACACAAATGAAGCTCAGGTTCAGTAGTGCAGGGGACTAACAGCCCTGTGGGGCTGGCGTACACCCTTCCCTCCATAGGAATGAGCTGTGTTAGTGTTGTCGGGGCAACCAGCAGACGCCCCCAGGGATGAGCCAGGGCTGAGGGCCCTTTCTGGGGACTTCGCTGTGTTTCTCTGGCACAGCCTTGGCTCCTCTAGGCCTGACCCCATTATGCATACCCTTCCTGCCACCTCCTTCTTCCATTCAGCTGGGTGCCCAGGCCCCTTCCTAGAATTTCTAGTCTACTCCTGTCTCAGTCAGGGTCACTGCCCAGACCCACGCCAGCAAGACCTGCTGTGGCAGTGGGGTTGTTTGAGCTCCCTGATGAGGACAGGCCCCAGTGCCCTGTGGGCCTGGTCTCAGCAGGTACTCTGGCCCCAGAGTGTACCTGGAGCATCTAATTGCTGTTAAGCGGTCACCCCAGGTCCTGGCCTGCTGCTGCCAGCCAGGCTCCAGAAGCATGAGAATGCACAAGCTCCATCATTTTCCCTGCCAGTCTCAGGGAACAGGGGTGTATGTCCAAGCACCCCCACCAGTGCTGATGGAAGTACTGGGCCTGTTTCTAGGAACACCTATCTGCCTTTTACCAGCACCCACATCTGAAGCTCACCTGGCCTGACGCTGTCCCCATGCCAGACAAGTGACCCCCACGGGGGAAGGAGCATCACCCGCACCTTGTCCTAAACCCAGTGTTGCTGGTGACTGCCTGCCCCCGCTTCACTCTGCCCTCAGTGGGCAGCATCCAATGATCTGCTAGATTCCAGGGCCTGTCTTCAGATGGAGGGATGTGACCCATGCAGTGGGGTAGGGTCCCTCAGGGGCTCCTCTCCCCAAATCCAGCAGGAACTTCCCATGGGGTCTGCTCTAGGGGTCCCCACTCCATACGCCCTGTCACCTAAAGCACACACACAGCAGGGTCCCTGCCCTTCTGCCTGCCAGCAGCTTCCTGGGATGTCCTGGGGATACCGCAGGCCTGTCCACCCCTCAATCCCCACATTTCCCCTTCCACCCCCCCCCCCCCGCCCCACTGGAGCCCTCAAGGCCCCGCCATTTCCCCTCACTCTGAGCCAGCTTTTGGACCAGGAAGGGCACTGCAACACCAGCAAAGAGGGTGAACTCCAGTGGACCCCACTCATGTCTTGGACACTGCCACCCCAGTCCCTGGCATCCTTGGATCTCCAGCCTGCCCAGCCTCTTGTCTGTCCAGCTCTGGCCTCCTTCCAGGGTCCTACCAGCCCCAGGAGAACTGCTTCCAGGCCCCTGGGGATGCTGGAACCCCCCAAATTTGGGGGAGTGCTGTGTGGTGTAGGAGAGGACACAAGCTGTCTCATCCACCAGCCTCCCCCAAGGCTACCCCTCCTGTCTGCTGTCGGAGGAGGCAGGGTCAGCCCCAGGGTCTGCTTCTCACTGAGATGATGGTGTCAGTCAGTTGTGGTCAGCTCTCCCCACTTGGGGTGAGGGTCAAAGCTGAAAGTTGAGGTGAGAAGAGAAGTGGTCATCTCATCCAAGAGGGGCCGACCTCACTCCTGAGGGCCCCTGGCCCAAGGTGGTCGTGTCCTGTCTAGACCAGGGTCTTCTGAGGACAGCTCAGTGGCTCCACCTTTCCATGGGCTCTGACATGAGAGTGCCAGTGGTGACGATAGCTTTGGCTGAAGAAGCCTGTGGGTTGGAAACCCACCTCCTGGGACCCCGGACCAGCCCTGACACAGAACTGCACATTGGCCACAAAAGCCTTCATCCATCTCTATTTAAGTTTGCACCTTTGAGGAAGTGTCACTCTGAGCTCTCTGTGTCTCATGGAGGAGAAGGGGGTGGACTCCTGCTGATGATCTGTTTAACATGTTGCACAGCGACCAGGCACAATCACCTTCGCTTGGACGCGCGCAATCCCAGACAGCACAAATGCCTTTCTGTTTGAAAAATAAAACACAAAGCTTTCAGCACAAAATACCAGGTGCCACCTTTATCTGGATGTGCCCAGCTGGGTCAAGGCTATCCCAGCCACTTGGCCCCGACCAGGCAGGCTCCTGGTGGTACGATTATGGAGACACTAGGGCAAGGGCAGAGGCACTGCTTGGAGCTCTGCAGACAGTAGAGTTGACCCAGAACCTGACTTCGGTCCTCGGTGGAGCATCACCCTCCCTTGGCCCCGCTGCCCTCCACAGTCTGCCGGGAGAGGAGGGGAATTGGGGCTTCCAGTGCAGGCAGTAGCTGGATGGAGTCAACTGGGTTCCCCTTCCTGATCCTGAGACAAAAGAGGAGAAAATTAGGAGGCGGCACCCAGGCTTTGCAGATTGAATCAACCATAATAACAGCGTGTCTCAGCCTCTGTTGTCTGCTGTTTACATTTCTGGTGGGGAATTCATTAGCATGGGGCTGGGAGAAGGAGCCTGGTTCCCAGCCCTTCTGTGTCTTTTGGGCCTGAAAAGCAGGCATCAGATGGTTGGTATGTCCCTGCACACTGTGTCTCCAGGCCTGCCCCGACCACCAGCCCTGGACCCTCAGCCCTGCTGGGAGGAGAGGACTGTTGCAGCCCTCCTGTCCTTGCCCCTGTTCACCATGAGCAGCTGTCCATCAGCTTTGTGACAGAGTCAGTGACCTACCCACCTGACCTTCCAAGAGCCTCCTGCAGGCCAGGAAGAGGCTAAGGAGGACTGCTGCAGGGCGTGGGGGTGGTTCTGAGAAGGCCCTAGAACTCTGTCACATTGCTGAGGCCAGATTGGGCTACTTCTGCAGACCCTCCCCCCAGCTGCTCCTGTCACCCTTGAGACCTCTACAGCTCCCAGGGCAGAAACAGCTGACTGGCCAGACAGCAGTGTTCTGGCCAAGGACCCAAGTGCTTGCTGTGTGCCCTGCCTGGCTGGAGAGAACAGGGTGGGCAGTTGGGCCTTTCAGAGCCCCCGACCCAGTGCCTACAGGCACAGCTGAAGTGCTGTGTTTAATGCAAAGGAAATGGCCATGATGATTCAGACACTCTCTCCCTCAAGGGACCAGCTGGGCCTCCCTCTGAGCTAGTTCTGGTCCTGCCACTCGGGTGGACAAACTGAAAATGATCCCTGCACACCCCCCCCCCCACCAATTCCAACCCCCGACTCCTTCCTCCAACCTCCTGCTCGGAACTGGGGACATTCACCCGTCCTGAGCCTTATAGGATGTGAGCAGCAGTCCTGGCTGGGGGTGGGGTTGGAGATTTTGCATTTCCTCCAAGCTCCCAGGTGATGCTGGTTGGGGGATATGTTTGAGATCCATTTTGACCTACCCTAGGATTCCCTCAGAACTTCTGACCTGGGGCCAGTTCATCCCCCGGGGAGGTCATTGTGGGTGCTGTGAGGTATGGAGCAGACTCCCTGCCCCCATCCACTTGACACCAGGAGCTCCCCCTGGTCAAGACAACAACAAATGTCCCAAGATATCTCTCAGTGTCCCTTGGGGGCTGGATCATCCACAGGTGAGACCCACATTCATAGAGCCTAAGCAGCTCACTTTCCAGCAAGTGAGACTCATGATATATGGACACGAAATGCATTAAGTGCCTTGAAGATTAAAAAAAAAAAAAAAAAGCAGGGCTTCCCTGGTGGCCCAGTAGTTAAGACTGTGCTCCCAATGCAAGGGGACACATCAGGGAACCAGATCCCACAGGCTGCAATTAAAGATCCTGTGTGCCATAACTATGACCTGGCACAGCCTAAATAAATAAATAAATATTAAAAAAAAAAAAAGATGGAGAGCCAGGAAGGGAGGCAGAGGCTATTTTATTTTAAAAATTTATTTATTGATTTTAATTGGATGATAATTTTAATATTGTGATGGTTCAGAGACTATTTTAACATCGTGGTTGGGGGGAATCTTTGAAGGTCTCACTTGAGTCAGAAGATGGAGGGGGAAGCATTTCTGGTGGAGGGAGTGGCCTGCAAAGGCCCTGAGGTCTCCTGCACACCATGGTCCTTTCCTCTGACTGATCAAAGCTTCCCTGTCTTATATTTCGGTTAAAGGGGTTCATCCTGCCAGTGGCAAAGTCTACGGTGATGGAGGCAGTGATAACCATACAGCCCAGGATCTGGAGGAGCCCCTTGGCCAACTCCAGGGGCCAGGCAGGTGACCTCAGCCAGGGACCAGCCTCTTCCACCGGGGCCTGGGGTCCAGCTTCCACAGGTGCCAGCTGACAGAATTGAGACACCAGCCTGTTCATTCATCAAGGCAACATGTGTTTTGACAAACGATATTCTTATTTTTAAATGTTGACACCAAACTTAAACAAAAAAACCTCTGTGGACCAAACAGCATCGGTGAGAGGCTGCGGCGCCCAACCTCAGCTTCATCCACATAATTGCATTAATCCCAGGAGCACAGAGAGAGCAGGGCGTGAGACCCAGCTGCTTTGCTCCCTGCACAGTAGGCCTGGAGGGTGTCCCTCACCCGGAGCAGCCAGCAGGAGGTCCCTAGGCTGTGAGGCTAGGCAAGGAGCTGGGACCTCCTCCTAGGTGAGGAGATGTCCTGTTGCATATAGGAGGACTTGTGCAGATCAAGGACAGCAAAGGCCAGGTGGGGGTCCCTGGCCCAGGCCCCCAGACAGCCAGGGACAGAGGGAGGCTGGCTCAGAACCCAATGGGCCTCAGCTCTAGCCCCCACCTCGCCTCTTCCCAGCTGGGCTGCCTTGGGAGAGCTGATTCCCTTTGCTGACCTGAAGAAACCCAGCACACTCCTGTGCTGGCTCACGAAGGCCAGGGCTCTCCCGACTGGCTGTGAAGGGGGACTGCTGCCTTGGTTTGGGGTGCTCAGGTGGGGGTTGGGCCCCATGCCCAGGGAGAGCCAAGCAGAGACTCTGGGCCAGTCCTGCCCTGGCTCACGAGGCCAAGAGGCTGGCCTGGGAGCTATAAATAGCAGCCACAGAGTGGAACTGCTCTCGGTGCCCACGCTGCTCCGCATGAGTCAGCCTGCCCCTGCCTGGGCTGGCACCCTGAGCAGCCAGAGGGCTGGCCCAAGGCCTGTAGCCCGGACCAGCACCGTTGGTCACTCAGGAGACGGAGGCAGGCAGGCAGTCAGAAGGGGAGAGAGCTGGGGCTGTCATCTCTGAGCGCGCAGATGTCTAGCAGCCCCACCGAGGTGGACATCAGGCCCAATCGCTCCCAGCAACCCTGCCAAGGAACACAATGGTGACCTTCATTCACAGATGGGGAGACTGAGGCTCAGAGGCATGCTGGACTAGGACACAGAGATCCAGACCAGAGTATAGGATCTGTCTGCACACGGGGCTGTCTCCATCGCTGGCTGAGAGCACTTGGAGATGCCAGCCTGGGACCAGGCCACCCTCTGTGGTAACCCCACGGGGCCTAGGACAGGACAGGAGGGAGGTGTGCCCAGGGAACAGCTCCAGGCAGCCAGGGTTGGAAGGGGTACCGGAGGGGAGCTTGAGGAGGGCTGAAAGGGGCGGTCCAGGGAGGCCAGGAGGGAGGTAGATGGTCCAGGCGTGAGAGGTCGGGAAATGCAGCGGAGGGGTAGAATCAGGGAGAAGTGGGGCCGTTCACACCCCAAAGCAGGGCAGACCTCAGGGGTCAAGACTCTTGGGGAACCAGGTGGTCTTGGGGATCGTGCCCACATCTCCAAGGGAGCAGGAAGGGTCTGGCTCAGCTGGAGCCACAGATATGATGGGTCAGAAAAAATCTGGAGCCATAGGGGCCCTTGGGTTCCAGCTGACCATCTGCTCACACATCTCATGATGGGGCGCTCACCACCTTATGAAGAGCCTCTTTCACCCTGTGACCACTCTGACCCCAGAAGGCACCTCCTTGTGGGACCCTAATGTCAGCCTCTTCATCCAATCTGGGGGTACCTGCCTCTAAGAGGCGTGGACCCTGGGGTGAGCTCAAAGACACCCCTGCCTGTGCCCCAAAGCCTGGCCTGCTCTGAAAGTCCACCCCCAGAGTCCACAGGAGGAAGGGGTGATGGCATCCTGCTAGCTTAAACGTGGACGTATGGACGTCAGACACACAGACGCTTCCCAAAGGCAAACATCTACTCTCAGAGACAGCTCTGCTTTGAGACAGAGAACATTTTCCTACCAGAAAACTGCAAATCCAGCCTCCTTGGCTCTCTTTGTTCACCCCTCTACCTTTAGAAGCATCCTCCCACCTCAAAGGTCCAATTGCCATCTCTGTGTCAGTGACCTGCCCTTACGGCCATCAACCCAGACCAAGTCCCACGCCTGCCAGGAAAAAGCCTCCTATGAGGACTAGTCTCCTGAACACCCGCATTGTCCCGAGCCTTCTTAGGCCACCTCTGCCTTCTCACACATCTGTTTATTGATTGATTATTTATTCATTCCATCAATGCACATTCCTTCCCTTGCCCCTGAGCTGGACACCTCCCACCCTCTGGACCAGCCGAAGGGGTTGCCATTCTGTCCCTCAGTACCCTTATCTACAGTTCTGCCAGCGGGCCCCTTCTCTTTGCTCCTGGGTGCCCCTCATCTTGCGCAGCCGCTGGCTGCAGGGTGACCCTGGGGTTCTACAGCTTCATCCCGGAGAAGCCGACCCCACCCCCATTGCGTCCGTGGCAGCACTGTGTGTTTGCCAGGCGGCGATGTAGGGGCGGGGGTCTGAGCGGGGCCCGGACGGGACTGTGCGCGCGCGGCCGGGCGCGGGGCGGCGGTGACCTTGGCCCGGGGCGCGGGTCCCGGGGGAGGGGCGGAGCGCGGCGCCCGGCGGCGGGCGGGGACGGGCGGGGACGGGCGCGGGCGCGGGCGCGGCGGCGGCGAAGGCAGCTCGGGCGGGCGGCGGCAGGCGTGCGGGGGGCGGCGGCGCCCAAGCGGACACGGAGCCGGTCAGCAGCAGCCGCGGCGGCGCTGCAGGGACGAGCGCCCAGGTAGGTGGCCGGGGGGGGAGGGGGCGGGGGGCACCGGGGCCCTCTGTATCACCCCGCGAGGCCCGCAGGTCCTCTCCCCGCGCGCCCCTCCTTTGTCTGAGCCCCACCCTCCGCGGCCGCGGGGCTGGGCTCTCCTCCCCGCCGAGCCCTCCACCGGAACCCCTTCCCCAGTCCGGCCGGGCCCTGGCTGGGCCTCCTTCCGCGCGCCCACCTTGGACAGTTCCCTTTTGGCATCACCCCTCCCCCACGGTACTGACCGGGAGCCCTTCGACCAAGCCAGCCCCTCCAGCTCACCGCAGCCCCTCCTCGGCCCCGCCGTCAGGGCCTCTCCAGGAGGAGTCAGGTGGGCCCCGAGCTGGTCTCTCCTGACCACACACCCATTCAGCCCTTCCGCTCCCTCTTCAAGCCAAGCCCCTCATCCAGGAGCCCCTCCTGCCGTGGAAACCCCCTCCCCCACCACTTAGATCCTCCTTGGGCCAAGGGGAGCCCCTGGGCTGACCTCCCCCGACAGGCCCCTCTAGAGCAGGCCCTCTGTCATCAAACCCCTCATTGGTCAGGTAGTCCCTAAGTCAGACCCCCTTGGGGCAGCCAGTCCCTGCCCCCAGGCCCTCCCCTGAGCTGGGCCTGTTTTCTTGCACCTAAGGTCGCTCCAACCTTCCTCGCTGGACTCCAGGGCCCAGGACTAGGCAGATTCGTCTGGCCTGGGAGTCTCAAGGTGGGCTGCCTTGTACAGGGGAAGGACCCTAGGCCTTGCAGCCAACCAGGGCCAGTTTGAACCCTTCTCTGCTCCGCCACTTCTCTGCTGTGACCTTGAGCCTGTGCCACCCCCTCTGGAGCCTCGGTGCCCACGGCCCCCTCCTACCCCCACCCCAGCCCAGGGGAGGTGAGGGTGGGATTCAAATGGCACCCAGGGAGGCTCCTGGCATGGGTTTGGGGGTTATGGAACAGGGCTCCCAGTCAGAGATCCCAGGCCCCCATGGATCCCTCCTGGAGGACACCCCTGTGGACATGCGTGGAAGCCTGCTGGGAGGGTCTGCACTCAGCTCAAGGCAAGGGCTGGGTCGGGTCAGCCTAACCAATGGTTACCAGCCACCCCAGGTCCCTCGGCCAGTCCGGGCAGTGCCTGGCTGCCAAGTGCTGAGCCCACTTCTTGGGGTGCTCACCCAGGAGAGGGCAGTAACTGCAGAGCAGGCTGCCAGCCCCACCAGCCACTGCCCCCCAATGCTATGCATTTCACCAAGATGCCTAACAGTCCCCCACAAGTTAGAGCTGCTAAAGCTCCTACAAGTTTGCCTGGCACGTCATTTGTGAGGTCTGTGTCAGCCGTTAGCTTCATTGTCTGTCTTTTTCTGACAAACCTGGTACTTTTGATCACTGAGAACGTGCCTTCCCAACCTGCCACCAGCCAGGTGCTTTACACCCTGGGTCCTTGGGATGGAGAATCATGTCTGTCCATCTTTACTGAGGGCTCTTGTGTGCCAGGCACCCGGCCAAGGGCTTTCTCCAGCATCTGGCACTCTTTGTCCCAGCACCTTCATGGAATGGGTGCTGCAACTTCTCACATTTCACAGATGGGAACACTGAGGCTCGGGGGCGTCAATTTACTTACTGGGGTTTTCATTGCCAGGTCCATGTCGTTGGGTCTTGAATACTACCTGCCCCCCCCCCCAAATACCTGAGGTCAGTAGCATGGCCGGGGGGGGCAATCTTGCCATGTCTTCTCTATCTCATTGTAGAAACACCCCTCCATGCTGACAGACCCTCAGAGATGGCTGAGAGGAGGCAGGGAAGGGGTCTCTGCTGTTTCTATAGATAAGGATGCAGATGCTGGAGACAGGATTCCTGCCTTCTCACCCCCAGGCCACAGTTCTTCCCCCATCATCATCATTTTAGGAATTGCTGTGCTGTGTGACCTCCCGAGGTCACTGGACCTCTCTGAGCACAGAGGAGGGGACAGAGGATGAGAGGACTCCCTCGCAGAGAGTTCTGTTCTACGGACACATCAGACCTGAGTGGCAGGCCAGACTGTAGTCTGGGTTTGGAGTTTAGGAAGTGGGGCTTTCTCTAAGCTAAGTTTAGTTTTCTCATCTACAACCTGGAAAACCAGCTTTATGATTTGCAAATATTTGGACCTCTCGCACCAGGATCACACTTAGGGGATGTGGGAAGGAGAGCAGCTTTAAAATGCAAGTTCCCAGGACTGTGGCCCTGGACCAAAGGATTCACTGCTTCCAAGGCTGAGGCCCTGCCATCTGCATTTTAAAGATACCCCACCATGCAGCTCCCATGGGCTTGAGGGAGAGCAGAGAGCCTGTGATGGTTGGAGACAGGCACCGCTTCACCTGTTTTGCAAAGGAGAAAACAGACTCAGGGTGGCAAAGCAGCTTGCCCCAGTCACAGACCCAGGGAAAAGCCAGTGCCTCCTGGGGGCTGGGGGAGCGCACAGGTGGAGGAAGCCATGGGTGTGCACCCCACGCCAGCATCTCCATGCTCCTTCCAGTCAGGTCTTTCCACACCCTGAAAGAAGCTCAAGCCCCAGATTTCATTGAGGGAAAGCAGACAGTCAGAGGGTGCAGCTCTGAATGGCAAAGTCAACCAGATCAATGGGGAGGCAGGAGAAATGCTGCCTCCTCCGAGAAGCCCACCCTTCCCACTCCCTCCCAACCTGGGTGGGCCTTTTGCATCTGACACTCCTCTCTGTGCAGGGTCGGTCTGGGGTTCTAGCAGCCACAGCTGCGAGCTCTCCCGGCCCCGCCCCCCACCCCCGCGTGGAAGATGCCTGAACAGAGCAACGACTACCGAGTGGTGGTGTTCGGGGCGGGCGGCGTGGGCAAGAGCTCGCTGGTGCTGCGCTTCGTCAAAGGCACATTCCGGGACACCTACATCCCCACCATTGAGGACACCTACCGGCAGGTCATCAGCTGCGACAAGAGTGTGTGCACGCTGCAGATCACTGACACCACAGGCAGTCACCAGTTTCCGGCCATGCAGCGGCTGTCCATCTCCAAGGGCCATGCCTTCATCTTGGTCTTCTCGGTCACCAGCAAGCAGTCGCTGGAGGAGTTGGGCCCCATCTACAAGCTCATCGTGCAGATCAAAGGCAGCGTGGAGGACATCCCCGTCATGCTGGTGGGCAACAAGTGCGACGAGACCCAGCGGGAGGTAGACACCCGCGAGGCCCAGGCTGTGGCCCAGGAGTGGAAGTGTGCCTTCATGGAAACTTCAGCCAAGATGAACTACAACGTCAAGGAGCTCTTCCAGGAGCTACTCACGTTGGAGACGCGCCGGAACATGAGCCTGAACATCGACGGCAAGCGCTCCAGCAAACAGAAGAGGACAGACCGCATCAAGGGCAAATGCGTCCTCATGTGAGCCCAGAGAGCCCGCCACCGCCGCTGGCACCCCTTTGTCCCGGGCACGGGCCTCTCCCCAAGTCCTATGCCCTCTTCCTCCTCCCTTTCTCCTCCTCTCCTGGCCTCCCTCCTATTTCTTCCACTTCTTTCCCTTCATCCACCATCTCCGGCGGGGAAACTGAGGCCTTGCCGAACCTGTGGCAGATCTGGGCTTGTGGCAACCCAGCTCTGTTGCATCACTCTGCGGTTCCCTCCCTCTTTGCCCTGACCCGCCATCCTGTCTGTATCCCCAGAAGGCGAGTGCTGGAAGTTACCCCCATGATCTGCATGTGGGAAAACAGGCGGCGGGGGGGAAGCTGTTTGTCCCCATCTGGACTGAGGACGCCGGTTTTTTCCCCTATCTCCATGTCTGCCACTTCTGCCCTTCCCCTTGGGTCCCCCCATTAGATCACTGTGACCTTGCTGGGGAGGAGAGAGTTGAAATGCACATGGACCTCAGATTTTGTTTTCTCCTATTTGGTGTTTAATATACACTCCCCTCCCCCTTCCATCCCTCATGACCTCTGACCTGGGCCCCCCAACCCAGGTCCCAGACCACTCCTCTTGCCCCCATCTCCACAGCTTGGTGGGGGGCTTTGTGGGCTGGGTCTCAGGCTGCCAGGCAATAACCAAACAGGGCCCTCAGCAGTGCCCCACCAGCCCTGAATCCCACTCCACACCTGGTCTGGGCCTGGGGTGCAGGCAGAGGAGGCCCAGAACCGGCCAATGGCCACAGCACAACTCCAGGAGACTGTCTGGGATGAATATGGAGGGCCTTCCTGGACACAGCCCATGGACAGAGAGTGACACAGCTTGTCACCACTGAGCCTTGGGCAGGGAGTTGGGGAGGGGGAGCCGGACCCTGTCAGAGGCAGGCATCCGGACCCAGCGCTAGCAGGGTCCGTGGGGCTGGAGACAGAGCTCTGCCCAACCTGTTGCCTCCCACCTGCTAGGCCATGGGGGCTGCCCAGGAAGGCGTGTGTCCTAGAGTCAGGGTGTGCCTGCCACCCTGAGATTATGTTTTTGTAAGTGTCTAGATGACACCACACTCATGGGACCTGGTGAGGCTGTGTCGGCCAGTGTGAAGGTGACCTGTAGGCCTAGAGTGGGGTGGGGGGATCCCATGGGATGATAAACTGGGCACCTCAGTATGCTGAGCGGATGGCTTATGTCTAAGCATGTATGGGAGGGGCTCCTGTGTGTGTGACAGTATGCAGTGTGACCACAATGTAGGGTGTATGGAGATGTGGGTCATGTGGTTACCAACAGGACTGGACACTTGTGATGGGTGACCTTGGCACCTGCAAGAGTGTGGCTGTACGTGGCTGCATTTTTGGGTGTGGGTGATGTGGTTTATTAATAGCGGAAAGCATTGGTAAACCATTTTGTCCTGACTGAGGAATGCCACACCTGTGTCACTCTGTAGTAAGGTGTCTCTCAGCCTAACATCTGTATCCATCAAGTGTTGCTAGGGAACACATGACCACAAACTCAGCAACTTTCAACAGCATGCATTTGTGGCCTCATCTGAAGGCATGATCAGAGATGGACCCACATCCCAGCTCATGTGCTCGTGGCATCATTCAGTTGCCTGTGGTCTTGGGATGGAGGGTTTCAGCTGCCTGCTTCCTGGGCCTCTCCCTGGAGCCATTTAGCAGCGGTGGTGTCATGAAGTGTGAAGAAGCTGTGTGTGTGTGTGTGTGTGTGTGTGTGTGCATGCGCACATGTCAAAGAGAGGCCCTGTAGCTGTTGTCATGTGACCACATGGACTGTATGTGGGTGAGAAGGACTGTTTGTGTCCATCTTGGTAGCAGTGTGTTTTTGCCCTTGCATCTGTGTGGCTGTTCATTCCACAAATATTTACTGGGTACACTGTGTGTGTGTGTGCATATGCACATGTGTGTCACTGCCCGGCATGTGGACAGGCCCATGGAAGAACAGGTAACATCCTATCTGGGTATAGCTGAGCCCCCCTAGCCTGTGGTGGGTCCAGGGCCCACAGCAACTGGTGTTGACCCCTCCCACTTGAAGGTGCCAGAGAAAGTAGGGCTGGGCGGGGGTCTGCGGCCCTTTCTCAGGGACACACCCTGATAGCACAATCTCCCTGGGGCCCTGCCCGCCTCCAGGCCTCTCCTGCTCCAGGCCCTGCCCTGACCCTGGGGGACAGAGGGGTTCTGGGGACCGTGCCAGGCCATGCTTGCTGTGACCCCGCCCCTGCCCCTTTGCCCCCTCGCATGTGGGTGTCCCCCTGCCCCCCGTTGTGGGGGTCTGTGTAGCATTCACTCTAGAAATAGTCTTCCTGCAATAAAATCGTGGATTCCACATTCCCCACCAGTGTGCCTTCTTTGGGGATGGGGAAGTCAGCTCGCCACCTGGAAAGGATGAGGGACCAGAAGGATGGGGAGGTGTGGGGCAGAGCTGAGGGAGGGGGCTGTGGGAAGAGCTTGGACTGCTGTGAACAAGGACTCTGGGGCACCGTGGGGGCATTTCAGTGCTTCTCCTCTGTGGTCCCCACCAGAGATCTCACAGGCCCTGCTGGACCCAGTACTTAGTGCAGTCAGTGGAGGGGCTCTGGCAGGCATGATGATCCCCATATTATGTGGGGGGAAAACCTGCAGGGCCTCAGCTTTCCCATCTGCTAGATGGCTCAGGACAGAATTTGCAAATTTATTTTTTTGAAACTTTATTTATTTGATTACACTGGGTCTTAGTTGCAGCAAACGGGATCTTTAGTTGAGGCATGTGGGGTCTAGCTCAAACCTAGGCCCCTGGCACTGGCAGCTCAGAGTCTTAGCCACTGAACTACCAGGCAAGTCCCCAAGTTTGCCAATTGACAAGTGGGGCTGGGACTAGAGGGAAAAGCAATAAAATGTCCCCACGGTGCCCCAGGGTGAGGAGAATGAAGCTCTCTCCACGGGTGAGGGAAAAAAAATATTCAAGTCATCTAGATATATATTTTAATGCAACATTTAATGCAAAGGAATCCATGATGAGCAAAACATCACTATTTGAAATAAAGGTAGGATCTGACAGGGCTGGGGCTAGAGGGTAGCAAGGGAGCTGGTGTGCACAAACACAGAATCAAATCTTGTCTTGCTTTAAAACTGTAGTTATTTTGTTCACCATGGATTATTTCTGCATCTATTTTTAATTTTTAAAATATGACATTTATGAGGAATTCACTGCCAGTCCAGTGGTTAAGACTCTGAGCTTCCAATGCAAGGGGCACAGGTTCGATCCCTGATAGGGGAACTAAGATCCCACAAGCTGCACACCCTATGGCCAAAAATTTTAAAAAAGACATTTATATAGTATTTATCTTGATGATGAATGTTTGGGGACACCCCTTTAGGTTCTGGATTTGAGAAAAATGTCTCACATCCCTTGCCCCAGTCCTGCCTGAATCTGTCTTTGGGGCCACTGGCAATCAGTCCCTTTACCTGACAGCTGAAGGAACTGCCAGACCTAATTTTTCAAGAGCTCCTGGAAATCTGAATTTCTTTTCATGAAACATCCTAGTTTTTCAATTTTGGCAACAAATTTAGAATTTTTACAGGATTTGGGGGCCACATCTTGCCTCGGGGCCCCCAGTTTGCCACCCTTGTTCAGACAGTAATTCCTCCTGAGGGACGGAACTGGGGAGGAAGATGCAGTCCCCAGATCTCTGGTTCTGTCTGTGCACTGCAGGGTGTGAGCAGGGAGATTCCTGCGGGGATGACAGCAGCCCCTGGGGGCCCAGCTGGTAGGCCAGCAGTTCAGATCAGAGAGTAACAATGTTACACAAAGTTCCTGATGTCCCACAGTACAATGGCTTCATCCTCCTGTATGAGAAACTCTCCTCTCCAAGACTGCGTATACTTTTAGAGACACACCAAATGCTTCCCAGCATTACCGGGGGAGCATGTCAACAATGCACACTCCGGGGGTCCAGTTGCCTTCAGGATTCTGGTTCATTCCATCTGGGTGAGGGCCAGTAAATGTAAATCTGCATTTTACAATCAAGACTCAGGATATTATGAAACCCTGGACAGGGTTGGGCGAATGACCTTGAGTTTGACCTCTCTGAGACTCAGTTTCCATCTCTGTAAAACGGGGATAATATCGTTTCTCCTCCTAGCCTTATGCAGACCATTCAAGGAGAGGAAGCAGTTATTATCATTGTACAGAGGTCAAGCGACAAATCGGGAGGGGACGTTATTACCCCCAAGTGAGCTAGGATACGGATTTGAACCCTCTATCTTACCCGGGATTTGAACTGGCAAATCGCCTCGCTCTTCCTTTACGTCAGTCACCAAGTCACCTCTGAAATTCAGCTCGACCCTCGCGGAGCGGTCCACCACAACGTACCTATTTGTATATTAGCATAGTCCCGCCCCCCGCGCATTCTTCCCTTGCGGGTGGCCAGCCGAAGTGCCACTCAGCTCTCCGCCTCCTGGCCCCGCCCGTACCCCACACCCCGCCCTCTCTCCCAGGCGCACCCTACCCCGCTGCCTGCTCTGCGCCCCGCCCCCAGCCCTAGCTCCCTTTGCCCGGGCTCTCGATTGGCCGCGTCAGCCTCCAGTGCCCGCCTTCCGCCCGCTGGCCCTGCCTCCACAGAGGGGAGCGAGTGCTCGCCAGCCGGTGGTGGGTTCGGCTGTGCGGCGGGTCTGAGGCGGCCGCGGTGGCCCTAGCGCAGGTAAGGGCGCTTGCCGCCGCTATTCAGGCCTGGGTCTGGCACCCCCTCCTCAAGCCCCGGGGGCAGGGCGCGGCTGGGGCGGAGGGGAGGCCTGGGCGGCTGCGGGTTGGGGAATCCTGGAACGGCTCCGATTTGGCTCGGGACGGAGTTGGGGGTCTGGGTCTGTGAGGAGGCGCCCAGGATTCTGGGCGGGAGCTGAGAGTCGGGGTCTGTGGGGAGACACCGGGAATCCGGGTTGGAGTTGGGGGTCGGGGTCTGTGAGGAAGGACCAGGGATATGGGCTGAAGTTGGGGATCGGGGTCTGTGAGGAGACACCGGGGACCCGGGCTGGAGTTGGCGGTCCGGGTCTGTGAGGAGGAACTGGGGATCCGGGTTAGAGTTGGGGGTCAGGGTCTGTGGGGAGGGTCAGGGAATCCGGGCTGTAGTTGAAAGTCGGGGTCTGTGAGGAGGGTCTAGGAATCCGGGCTGTAGTTGAAAGTCGGGGTCTGTGAGGAGAGTCTGGGAATCCGAGCTGGAGTTGGGGGCCGGGGTTCCTGAAGATGGGCTAGGCCCTGGGTTGGGTTAGAGTTGGGGGTCTGGAGCTGGGGGTTGAAGGTTAGCTGGGGAGGGGGCTGCTGATGGAGTTGAGGGTTGGAGTCCCTTGAGGAAGAAGAGGCTGAGGCTGGGAATTTGGATTGGAGTTGGGGGTCGGGGTCCACTGAAAGGAGGCTGGGGATCTGAGCTGGGCTGGGGCTCTGTCATTGGAGTTGGGGATTGGGCTAGAGCTGAGGCTCCAGGGTAGCAGGGGAGTGGACTGCGATGGAGTTGGTGATGGTGGAGGAACTTGGGGTCAGGGTGAGCTGGCACAGGGTCAGAGAGCAGACTTTGGGGGAACTGAGAGAAGTGGAGGGGGGTCAGGCTTCTTTCAGAAGGCATCTGATGGCTGTCGGGAGAAACAGAGTGTCTATGAAGGATGAGAGAGAGAGGAGAGTGGAGAGAGGTGGGCTAGAGGCTGGGAGACCACCCCCCCCACCCCCCGACCCCGCCAGGTGTTTTGCAAGAGGTTGACTATTCAGGAGGAAATGGAGGGGTCTAGGTTTGAAGTCAGTAATGAGGATAGTAGAAGGAAGTCGCCCCCCACTTTGACTAATCATCTGGTGTAGGCAGAGACCCCTTGGTAACTCACTGAGCTGCAGACAATGGATGCTGGACACACTGTTTGAGGTTTGTTTCTGGCGTGCAGGGCACAGAGGGGAAGTGGAAAGGCTTGTGTTGGTGGCTGAATTTTTCAGGAATTTGGGGAGTCAGAGTCAAGAATCAAAGTAGAAGTTTTGGGAACAATGATATTGAGGGAAGTGGGTGGCACTTGATTTTCCCTGTGAAGCGGGGGTTGCTCAGGGCTGGAATATGGGTGGGAGAAGACAGGTGTGATGAGCAGCAAAGAGCCTTCACATTGCTGGATGTCAGCGAGGCAAATGCCAAGTTCTCAATCTTGCTCAGTTGCAGGCTATGGTCTTGCACAGGTTGAGAGTGGAGTGGGCTCTGATAGGTGGGCCTGCCTTCTCCTGTCCCCTCTGACTGCTCTCTTGGCTGTGTCACCTCTGGGGGTTTAGTTTATTCCTCTGTAAAATGGGAGTAATAAAACTGGAGCAGGTACCTCACAGGATTGCTGCGAGGGTGAAACGAGGAGATGAGTGTACCTCGCACACTCCTGGCACATGGCAAGGATACGTGCATGTTGATAATAATGTTCTAAATTAAGGTTTATTGGGGGGGAGGAAGGTGGGTGGGTAGAATTACTGGGTTGTCAGGGAGGAGAGAGAAGAAATCACTTGGAGCTTGATTTCAGTCCCTCAATCTTGGGGTGCACATAAGAATCCCTTCTGGAGTTTTAAAAAAAGAATCTGCAAAAAAATTTTTTTCTTCACATTATTAAAAATGAGGGGAAAACAACAATGACAAAGGACAAGTCTACCTGGATCTGCCTGGATTCTGAAGCTTTATCAAGGAACAAGCACATCTATTTAAGAGAAAGGTTCTTGGGTCATTCTGATGAAGTGTACCCCACAGGAACCATTAGAATGTGTTCCCCGAAGGGGGCCACTGGGCCACAATTATATGCTCTTTAAATACATGAGCTTTACATGGGACTTCCCACTCTGCCTTCCAATGCAGGGGGCGTGAGTTCAACTCCTGATTGAGGAATTAAGATCCCACATGCTGCACACTGTGGCCAAAAAATAAACTAATAAAAATAAATATACAAGATTTATAAGTTGACTTCCTGTGATGGGCCAAGGTCTTTCCGCTTGGCAGTGCTCATAAACAGTGCACTGCTGGCCTTAATGTCAGGTCATCCTTTGTGGGGGGCCATCCTGGGCCCTGTGGAGTGAGGAGCAGCATCCTTGGCCCCATCCACTCAATGCTAGGAGCACCTCCCCACCAGTGTGACAATGACAGATATCCCCAGATATTGCCCCCTGTCCCTAGGGGGCAGAATCACCCCTAGTGGAAACCCCCTGTTGGAAACAAAACTAAGTTATTTTCTCCTTTAAATATCTCATCTCGCCTTTCACCCTTGGGAAGTATGGCCATTCAGATTTGGGTTAGTTTTTATGTCATCTTGTGTTCTTTTGAGAGGAGAAAAAAAAAAATCACACCACTTTTAGAAAAATTTAGAAATGCTGAATTCTTTCTAGGTGGGTCTTTCATGTGGCTTTCGAACACTTCTACTGGTTTTGAGTATGGGATTAACTCAGCTGCACTGAAAGAAGCCAACATTTGTGATTGTTTTCCTTGGTTGTAACTGAGTACAGGCGTCTTCCTCAGAAGCTTGAGTTCTTCAGATGGTTCTTGGTCTTTTACTGAAAATGATTGTAATCAGTGCCTTTGCTTTCTGCTCCATGTTTCATAAAGGCCAGGGCCCTATAGTTTGAAGGGAAAGACAACTGAATATGAATTACCCTGACACAGGAAGCTTTTTGCTTACTGAATGGAGGCATTTTTTTGGGTACACCCTGTAGTAGTGTAAAAAGCGCCTTCTTCCCTTCAAGGTGTCATTACAAGTTTTCTCATTTGCATTTGGTAATAAATAATTATCTTTAAAATAGTATTTTCTGGGGCATTTGTGTATGTGTTATTTTTTGTGGGGGGGCTGTGCCATGGGTCATGCGGGATCTTAGTTCCCCGATCAAGGGTTGAACCCATAGCCCCTGCTGTGGAAGCTCAGAGTCTTAACCACTGGACCTCCAGGGAAGTCCTGGGCAATTAAATACTTGAAACTCCTTTGTAGTTTCTTAGAGAAGCGTGGTTGGGCCTGGCCTCCATGACTTTGGAACTTTCTGGAGCTTTCTAGAGGGGATGGTTCCCAGGACAGTTGTGTGATTGCAGGGTGTGGACACGAACTTCTTCTCTTTCCATTGCTTCCCTACAGGTGGCTGTGTCTTCACAGCCCAAGGATGATCAGCTGAGCTGTGTCTTTGTTCTGGGAAGGTTTGTCTTCAGTCTTCTGTCCTTGACAATGTCAAGGTTCACCATGTTCAATGCTCACTTCAATAGCTCTGGACCTCACTTTTCACCACTTCTCTTATGCTGCCCTTGGGCATGGCCTCTCTTTCTCTCTTCAGGGTCTAGAAGAAAGGTGGGTGACTTGTCCCAGCTGCTCAGTTCCCGCCATCTCCTCTTCCATCCTGTCACGTTTCTTCTTGTCCCGCTAGCTGGCGGGCAAGGGGGCTGGTGGGCCGCTCTGAGACTCTTCTCGGAAAAGTACTAGTTCTCCTGGTGGGTACAGACGTGTCTGACTCTTTGCAGCCCCATGGATGGTAGCCCACCAGGTTCCTCTGTCCATGGGATTTTCCAGGCAAGAATACTGGAATGGGAAAAAAAAAAGAATACTGGAATGGGTTGCCACTTCCTTCTCCAGGGGATCTTCCCCGACCCAGGGATCAAATCTGAGTCTCCTGAGTTTCTTGTTTTTCTTTTCTTTTCTCTTCTTCATTTTTGTTTGCGTTTCTTGCATTGGCAGGCAGATTCTTTACCACTGTGCCACCTGGGAAGCAAGTTCTCCTAGAGAACCTTGCAAAGGGAAAAAGTCTTACTGCTTATTTCTTAAATGGAGGTACAATTGCCATATCATAAAACTCAGCCACTTTAGCACACACTTCAGTTTTTTTGTAAGTTTATGAGTTTTGCAACCATCTCCATAAACCTGACTTAGAACCTTCCAGTACTCCAGTAAGACCTCCATCCCCATGAGCAGTCACCCCCACCCCCCTAGCCCCTGACCACCAGGAACCCACTCTCAGTGTCTGTGGATCAGCCTGTTCTGGGCATTTCCCATCAGTGGAATCACACCCTGTGTGTCCTTCTGTGTCTGCTTCTCTCATTGCATGTCGTGTTCTCAGGGTCTGTCCACGTGATAGTGAGTGTCAGGGCTTCTCCTTTTCATGGCTGAGTGACGTTCCCGTGTGAAAGGACACATGTGTTTATCTGTTCACTTGTTGGTGGACATCTGGGCTGCTTCTGCGTTTTGGCGGTGAGGAATCGGTCTGCTGTGTCAATGGCTTTTTTCTTTCCTGAGCATTTGACAGCCCTTCAAACTAAAGCTCCATAGTGGGGGGTCGTTCTGTTTTTCTTTCTCTTATCTGGTTCTGTTTTTCTTTCTCTTATCTGCATTTCTTCCCTCCTTGAGTTAAATGCTTCCCTGTTTCTTTCTCGGAACATCCCAGCTGGCAGATAGATCAGCCTCTAGTATCTCCTGCTCTGGTGGGTTGACCCTCACCCCCACCATAACCAGAATCTTCTATCTAAAGCTGAGATTGGTTCATCATTTTCCCTGCCATCTTCATCAACTCATCACCCACTCGACAAAATCAAATTGCTCCCCCTGTGGGGAGTTGGCCCCACCCCACCTTCGGGCTGACCTTCACTTTGACTCCAGGAACGGCCCCTCCTGCTCTGCCCACCCAGCGCATGCCCTCAGCTTTCCTGGATGGTGCAGTTTGCTGTCTCCTTTGTCTGAAACCTTCCTTCCTTCCTTCCTCTCCCCAACAAAGGCTGGTTGTGTGCCTATTTTAAGCTTCAGACCGGGTGCCAGGCGCCGGGAGCACCACGTGAATGAAACGCTTGTGTGTGTGTTGGGGGCGGTGTGGAGACGGGCCCCTGGGGCCATCCTGTCCCTGGCTCGGCTCTCTGAGTCAGGGTCCCTGGAAGGTGGCGGGGCTGGGGGCCC